ATGCCTGATCCACTTCCAACGTCCTTTCTTAATTTCCTCGTCGGTTGGAAGCTGTTTTGTCCTCTCACATAGAAGACTGTTACTGATGGTATCCGGGCAGTGAATGCTGATTAGTTTACTTGCACCTTTACTTGCCTTTACGTCTGTATCAGATCCTCCTTGTTCATCATTGATGTCTCTCAGGTACGTGGATATTTCTACATCTATCAGAGTTTGTCCATCAAGTGTGATTTGCTTGGCGTTCTCCGTATGGCACTGGAGAATTTTGCTTTCTCCCTTGTGTATGTTGAGGCTTATTGATGTATACTTAATGAAAATGATTATCGGACATAGTTTTCAAATATTTCGTTTGCTGTTTAGGTTAACTTTCTTTTGATTTAAGTGTTGAGTGTCATTCGGTAGGTCGTCAAATCAATGATGAATGGTTGTTTTGTTTTGAAAAGAAAACATCTCATTGTTAGACTTACATTGACTTAATAATTAATTTAAGGTACTTCAACACTAGATAGCTTTTTCTTCTTCCTACTGAATTTCCCAGTAGTTACCTAATTCAGTGAGATGGGAGTACTGAGATTGTAGGATTTTATAGTTTACACTAAGGATCAACTTTAGTTCGATAACCATAGAAAGCTGAGAAGCATTAAACCATAGTTTTACCATAGTACTTAGCCATTCAAGAACACATCCACCATCTCAGCAGGAATCGAACCCACGACATTCAGACTGCTACGTTAGACCCCATTGACTTCCTTTATTAACTTCGGTCGGTGTACAGGTTCCCCTAACTGTCATTCATCGGTATTAGTGACGCTTAGTTGGTTCCTGAACTGGTTGATTTTTACTTCAACTTTTGCTATATTTGTCTAAATATCTTTTCAAAATAAAACTAGTCCAATGTTGAAATTAACATGAAATGATCTAATTCACTGGAAAGTTTACCAGTGTAAAATTATAAAATCAAGAAGACAATATACCTATTTATTTTAATTACTTTATTCATTAAAGTCGTTAAAATATGTAAAATCAAATTTGATAATGATTAAGGGATTGGATAATTTTTCTCGTTAGCGTTTTTTAACGAGCTCATTTTCTACGGGATGAGGTCACTCACCCCACGCATAACCCTCCTCCTTTATCCTAGCTGGCACCCGGCATTAGCCCCTGGAAGGGCTACAGGCAGAGTTATTAATTAAGGGATAACATTTACAAATTAGAATAAATTATATTCAGTCTTTAATGATGAGGACAACACAATGAAATGTTAATTTGAAGTGGAAAGTAGTTAAGATTGAAAATATTATTTATATAGGTAAGAATCATAAATACTTTGAAAGGTTTGTACGGTCTTTTAAATTGAACATGAAATTCAGTTCACTTAAAATACTAAGCATATTCAGATTTCTGTGACAACTAAGATTAACTCCAATGATTTTCTACTCTAATCATTTTTGTCTTCCATCTGCACTGGATGTAATGTGACAACTGGCAATGAGACTCAGAACCCTCGGTCTCACGTACAAGAATGCTTAATTTCTAGACAACCAAGGCAACATCTAATGGTGTTTGAAGACTTAATACTGATATATTCATTGTATTGTTGTTAACAATATTAAGTGTAATTGATCAGTCTTGATTAATAAATGACTTCTATAGATTATCAAACACTATAACTTTATTAACTTGAGATCGTGATTCTATTGAAGCTAGACTACCATGGTAAACCTGGAAGCACTGGCAATAAGGACAGAGCGTAAGAAAGTTCGAACCAAACAAGGCGGACAGCTGAAGGAGAAATGCCTTTGATACAGTTAAACAACAACGAGTGCGATAAAACAATCACTGGTACAATTGGTTATATAATAATAGTTGTTTCCATTATTGCAATTGTGTTCTCGTCGAGAAAAGCAGGTCACTACAGATTCATGAGTCTATTTAAGCTAGACCACCCTGTAGTGGATCATACTGTTGAAGAGTCCCGTTCTACGACGAAACAGCCGTCCAGTGTTTCCAGGTTTTCTATAGTGGTCCAGCTTAAATGGACTTACGATTTTAACCATTAAATTACTACAATTTCCGAAAACTCTCATTCTGACGGAAATAACATCAAGACAACTGTAAATAAAAATTATGCATGATTTAAACATATACATCAGGTCATTCAGTATGATGATAAAAAATCTCTGGAAACTCTTCATACTAACAAAAATCACTTGCTTATTAGTGATTAATCTTGTGAGATGATTACAAAAGTTCTAATCAGAAACCGTAACTATGAAAATGAAATGTTCAGTAGTTACTCACTTATGGGATTTGGTGATAGTCTCATTACGTGGCAAATTAATTCAAGTATGAAATGTAAAGCCGTGGAAGTTAAACGCTAGTGGCGAAATCTGAAATTCCAAGGCTTAAACTGTAGTTATATGCCGTGCTGCGTTAGATAAGATATGAAAGTAAACGATAATTTGGAAATTCCTGATCTGGTGGAGCTCATATAATGAATACAGCTGGAGAATGTCACAAAACAACTAGAACAAGTGTTTGCCGTAATCCAGTTGACCACACTCACATAGACTATGTCGAAAATTGTCACTCGAACAAAACTGTCAATCAATTTTTAAATTGATGCTACAGCTTGATTCAACCACTGTCAACTATCCACCAGTTTACTCAAACTCAACACAACCTCACACATTGAGATAGTTGGTAACAAATATTTCAACAACCTCAAATGATCGACATTCACTAATCCATTATAAGATTCACCACCTTACACAGAACCTGTATTTGACCTCACTATTGTTTACTTAATCATCCCAACATACTTAAGCATTACTTCGAAGGCATCTGACATCAAATACTGATAAGTCACGAATATGTTGTATTACGGAAGGCCATGTTTCACAGTGATAAATAAGTTTAAATCAAACTGTTGAGTACTACACTCGTCCTTTGATTGAGGAATTGACAAATTCCATAAATCACAAGTGTCTTAATTTGATGAAACACAACTGAGTTTTCTGAAGCATAGTCCTAATTTCTACTGATACTTACTCCGGTTAGCTTAACATTCAGTATAAGTGAAGTGTTTGACATGGTCAACTGTTTTACTTCTGATTATAATTCCAGGCTTTGACGTAGATACGTCCTAGAGTTTTATTTTGAATTTTAGACGGCAAGAAACGCATTTCAATTATCCTTTCATTGTTATTCGAGGCAACCAGAATATTGAAGTTCATTACATCTACAGTCTTATTAGACAATTTCGTCTTTAAATTTCATAACTTCAATATTTAATGTTAGAGAAGGAACAGTCATTAACTGTACACAAGATGGACGTGTGTACTTGAATATAACTAGTCTACCGATCCATTGTATTTCATTTCGTAATATATCGATCAACACTGTAGACTAATTTCACTCAGTCAGTCAGTCATAACGTATGACCAGGCACATGTATTCATCCGTCCAAGTTGCCACACCTCGTAAGCACTTGCAGACATGATGCCAAGCACTTAAACGTCAAACCGATTGAGTATACATCCAGTGGTTTATATATCTAACTCCAAACTATTACCGACACTGCTTGTAAAATGAAAGAGAATAGAAGTGATCTTAATAGAATGTAAAAAATATTTCATGACAGCACCCGAGAATCAAACCGAAAACATCCAGTTTTATTCCCAAAATTCTAATCTCTAGACCACTGAACCAAAATCCAAAGATGTTGATGTATGACTGCAATTAATTCACAATATTGCATGACTGCCTTGCAGTATCTAAAGTAGATACCTGCCACATACTTGATATGAATAAACTAAACTGTTCACAGATTCTCAGTGGAACTCCATGTTAAATTCCGACAGCAATTATGAATGGTAACTGTTATGATATATATCTGGAATAATACGATACATATATTTTTATTGTATAATTGTTAAGTAACTAAATCATTCTTATTCATGTTTCTCTTTTTATAAGCTTGATTTTGACCCATGAACTATTATTATACGGTTTACCATTCTTAAGTTAAGCCCAGTCTATTAATTACAGTCTCACACATTCACAGCCACATGTGGTTGAATCTTTTGCAGATGTTATTTTCTATTTTATGGTACGATATGGTCTGTTTGGTTTGTATATAAAAGCAGTATGTTTGAAATACATGATTCATATTGAGGAGGCTTTTATTGATGTTCTGTACTTAACAGGCGGCGCTAGGCAGGAATAAGGACTGATAGGGACTTTGGACTGCTCATACGGGTTTCATGCGTCACCATTATGGTATACTTTATATCGAAGTTTTACGAATAACGAAAAGCCGTTTAGCTTTGAACCATTAGATCTCATTTTTGAACACAATTCCCGTCTAATTTCATTTGCGTAATTGGTTAAGATCACATGTTCACACATTTAAAGTGTGACTTGAGCCTAAAAATGCTAATATATATCTGCTATATAATAAGGTTCAGAGCTAACACTATTTTAGATCGATATTCTTTCATCAATTCAGTATGACTTTCGTTTAATATGACTGGTTGGAATGTTCATTCAGTGTGACATTTATATCCTTTGTATCGATTCAGGTGAACTACATTCAATATGTTCTTGCCGTAACTATATGCATTTTTTCTTACACTTGATATTATTAGGTATGTATCAAAATCAGTATTTAAATGATTGTGTTCGCTCCTAAAGTCATCACGTTATCCAACTTACTACTTATTCCGTATAGCTACTGGCTTTTCCAATGAAGTTTTAGTTCCAGGATGAACTTCGGTGTCCATCACTTACAGGGAAGTTGTAAAATTATAGAAATCTGTGTACTGCATTACAAATGATCTATGATCAGACTATAATGTTGATAAAGAATAAAATTTTTCGATAGCTAACTGAGATAGTTTTAATGATGGAAATACAAATGAAACAAATCTCCTAGTACAGAAGGGAAGTTTAAAAAAGATATTTCCAAAATATCAGTTCATGTACATGTTGAACAGTTGATGATGGAACTATCTCAGTCGAATTCCATGAAAAGCATATCATTCTTAAAGGAAAATAGAGTTGCCATAGACGAATTCATACATCAATTAAAATTTGGTATTTCTCAAATTTCCTCAAACACCTTCATGGTGTATGCTAGTTACATGGGCAGATAGAAGTAGTATATATCAGAAATTAGAAGTAGCGTTCTTACTGACAACAGAAAATTAAGGAAAATTGAAGAAAGATGAAAACAGTGAAGTGAGCAACTGAAGTAGAAGAATGATAAAGTTTGGAAGAGACTATTCAAGGAATTTATACAAATTGTGTATTCAACGTATGACTTACACATTTTACATATGTAGTGTGTAATTTTGCACAATGCAGTCAATTGTCTTACTCTAACCAAATTTTTGTGATATAGTTTCATTTATCTAGATCGTATTTACTAAATACTACTTTTTATGAATATATTGATCAGTTCAGAGAAGTAACAGTTTGGATACAAAACATCAAACTAATGAATCAGTTGACGAAGAAGATGACAATGATCGAATTGATACTGAAAAATCGAAAAAGAAACGTGCTTTTATTCGTGATGAAAATGGAGTTTGTAGACCAGGTGAATTAGATGAAGATACAAATATGAGTAAAAATAATGAATCACGGTCGTCTGTTGTAGATCGTACAGCTGCAGAACGAATTTCATGTCGTTTGGTTCAACAGCGTAGTTTATATGTAAGTAAAATAACATGATTGATTGCCTCATTTTGAGGTACTTATCAGTGTAATCATCATAATAGAACAGATTCAGTCAGATGCATAAAATGTGGTCATTTTCAAGCAACACCTTGCTTAGTTAGTTATCGAAATGGGAAAAGAAACATTTTAATGTCTCATTCTTTAACATCATTGACTAAGGTGACATAGAGCTCTGTGGGAATACTTTCCGAATTTTACCTACATTGTTGAGGCAATATACTTTAAATGAACTAGACATTAGAAATTAAATGATACCAGAAATTTTAGCAGTTCGTCAATTCAAGCGTAAAGTTCATTTTGAAAAACAATAACTGAAATGTCTAATTTCTCATTTGTTTTTGCTGTTTTAACCGTTTTTCTAATTCTCCCTTTGAATAATGAGTAGTCATTATCATCTGTAAGCAGAGATGAGTAATTACTAGCAGTGGAATTTAAGGCGCAGGTTTCGTCCTATTTGGGACTGGTCATATGAATCTACTCAAAGCCAGTACAGTCCACTTCACACGTCATCGCATTATCCACTTAGCTACTGAGTTCAGATGTGAAGTGGAGTTCATTTAGTATTGGTTATTTGAATCTACATTGGATATTGAGAACTTCAATTGATCACCTTTGTCCACAAATGTTTGTGAAATAACGACATCCATCAAATTATTCCGATCAATTGCAATCCTAAACATCAATTGAAGGATTCAAATAATCAATACAAGATGAAGTAATTCCATCAATTCAAAGTAGTATTATCCTTGTTTCAATGCTTCTCACATCATGTGTGTACTGACAAAATGTTTTTCAAAGAGTATTGAGTTCTAAAAAACTACGTACAACTCATCGTCAATCTTTTTCCATTCGATAATAGTTTCTCTTCTATTTGATGAAACATTTATCACTGTTCAAACCATACATGAAAATCGTGACAAAAGGTGGTGCTTAGTTAACTTGTCGTTTTGTTTTCTATCTTCACTGTCATTCAGAGAGAAAAAAAGAAAATTGTAAAACAATAAGCTTTTAGTAAGAGAATTGTTAATGGTAATCTTATTGACAACGACTGCTAGGGCTGCCAACCAGAGACCTACAACCAACACTGTCTTCAGCTCTCCTTTCCAATTGCAATTCATTCTTTTGATGTATTCCCTCAATAGTTCATCACTGAACAGCATTGTTACAAGTTAGATTCTTATCATGTTCTGTTCTAATAAACAGTAGTGTTTTTATGCACACAAAAGGGGTATACTTCAGATCATTTCAGATGATTGAGATTTATTAAGCACGTGAGCATTGTTGATCATGTGTGACCGGATGGAACAAGGTATTGTTTTCCACTTATTCTTTTCAGATGAGACTGGAAGACACTCAGGTAGGTTGCCTGATTTAGCTTTCTTCAAAAGAGAACCTAAATTTGTTGATACACACCGAGGTTGTAAAATCAAATAAGTTATTGTTTTTGTATCTAGACACCCGTAAATGACTAAAAACTGACGTTGAGCTATCTAAATTCATCTTCTCACAGTTCGTTTTTACATACCAATGGTAATTAGTTCATTTACATTCTGTTTTTATTTACTACAGTTTGGATTGTATCGTAAACTGAATAATTTCAACATGGATTCAAACAGCAGTTCTACTCAATCTGGTAGTGGAATTTCGGAGAATGATGATAATTTCAATGAGATTAGCAAATTGAAAAAGGAAAATAACCAGTACCATGAATACTACGATGATAATGATAATAATGATGGCGGTGATATTCAACTTGAACAATCACTCTATAATATAGATATGGAAAATGAAGAAAGAGAAGAAGAAGAAGGAGAACAAGAAGACAGTATTACTATCCAAAATGATAAATTTTACACAAATCGTAAAATTAAAGAACTTGGCAAAGAATTCACATTAAAAGATATTTTGGGTCATCGTGTACCAGAACTAGAAATTGACAATATAAAGGATGATGAAGATATGGGACATAATGAATGAAGAATATAAGCCACCCCCTTCACACATACACACACGCATAGTCATTTGGCAACTAGTATGATATTATCGAAAGAGAAAAAGCATTTCCATAGAAAGAAAATTTTACCCATTTCAACAATTTACTTCTAAGGTGAAAGCATTTACATTGTCCAACCTTTCTCTTTCTTAATTTTATTTACCATGCAAATTCACAAACTACTGATTCCTAATTCCTTTTGGATGATCCTTTTTATGGAAGTACGACCACATAGACAGCGAGCGAGAGAGAAAGAATAAATTATCATCACTGAATTGAATGATGAAATAGTTCTTCGTCAAGTTTTTCTCTCTTCTTTTCATGCTCATTATTGTTATGTGGTTTGGTATTTTGTCTCCTGTTTTCTTCTGGGTTCTTTTTCTTCGCCTACTTCAAATTATTAGTAGTTCATTGAATAGATTCAAAAGGTCTGCTTCTATTTGAATTTGTAGCATTTAACTAAAGAGATATGATTGTTAGGATACGTTTGTCTGGATATTTTCTTAATTGAATGTGGTCAATAAAACAAAACAAAACATGATGATCATCGAAAAAGTAACTGATTCACTTAGTTAAGTATTTGTATTCTAGTTTGTATACCTAATGCGAAGAAAGAACGTGTTGATTTGTACAATAGATCTAATATTGTCTTGTTTTCTTATATATTTAATTGCTACTAATACTCCTGGAGTTCTAATAAGAAACCGTGACCAGTGCAGTGTGATCAGTGTTGCATCGAAGACAGTTAACCACGTCAGGCAATGGATGAAGAGTTGTACAAGATGATGGATGAATTGAAGTTAGACAATAACACTGTTGGATTCCGGTTGAGTGGTGTAGGGATTAAGCTTCAAGCATAAGACTGAAGACCCTGGAATCAATTATCGTGTACAGGATTGTGGATGTATACTGTTGACGAGTCAAATACTAGGATGAATTGGCCGTCCACTGATTTTGGGTTTTCAATGGTGGTCTAGCTTAGATCGACTTGTGATTCCAACTGTGTAAATAGTCGTGTTATAATAACAAAGATATTCACTGAAGAAATCTTGAATAGTGATTTAATTATAATTTATGAATTTTGCATTCAATAAGTTTTAAATCCTCGAAACATGACTTTCTTTTAAAGGGATGTGTAATTCTATTTAAATAGTCTACTGTCGATCTGCTTTCTTAATCAACTGCAATCAGTTTGATACGTACTGCTATTTCCTTATGCTATCTATTTAAGTAGATTTGTTGAGTTACTGCAACAGACTATTTGGTTTTAAATCCTTTGAGACTCCATCTCTTTTTTAGAGCATCAATAAATTTTAGTATACTTGTATGAAGGGTGTCAATAAGTTGACTAATACCTCCATACTATAGAGTGTGTTACTGATGTCGACAGATATAAGTAGTACATATCATGATTTGAAAGTGAAATGCCTGGTGGCTGAAGGTTAAGAAAATCGAAGAAAAGAGAATGAGAACAATCAAGTCTGACACAATCCATTGATATTTCGCAAATGAAGCATTTACTGTATGGTTCTCAGATTTTGCTAAGAGATTCTGTGATTTTATGTTCGAATACATTCGGTTGTCTCTACTGGTGTTCTCATTCACAACACTAGTTCACTGAGCAACAAAAACAAAAGTTATTATGATAAATCCATCTTCATATCTATTCTCAATATACTAGCAACATACACAAACACAATGTTTTTAAAACTTCGTGATCTTAATAATTCATTAATAAATTTCTATCGGATTATTTTGAAGCACTTAGTCTCCTCGATAAATTCCGATGGTGTAATAAGAAGATGAAGATTATCATCACTATGTGATATTGATAAGCCTTAATTATTGTAGTTTTTCCCGTCGTCACTGATGTCTTGTTGATTGGACGCTATATTCGGGCCCCAAGCTATTCTTGTAACCCTCAAGCTAGAACCACACAGCCACTTGAACACAAGAGAAAAGGTGCAAAAATATACGAGAAACACTTTACTCCATAGGTTCATTTATGTACAGAAAATATAGGGTTTTTATAGTATTTTAGAAGTCTTTGGGTTTTCCTGAGAATCCCAGAATATTACTCAACATAGTAGCAGTGTAGTAATCAGCCAATCAGAACCTCTACATGTGACTTTTCATTTTCGCGGTATATTTCTAGCAAAACGTCTAATCAAACACTGATTGGATAAAATGCTCCTTAATGTTTCCTGAGCTTGTCATGTCTATTGAGAGAAAGTTTCAGGATCATTCCAACAGATATATTAACGCAACACATTTTGAGCAATCTGATCATATGTAATACACCTGTGAAGAAGATTTATACATAAAAATAAAAGGTCAACTACACAAGAGATGGAGGTTATGAAAAGCCAAGAATAACAATGGAAATAATGTAAAAACAATTTGAAACCTCATCACTTTGGATAATTAGTTAATAATACTTACTTACTTACTTACGCCTGTTACCCTTCGTCGGGGAGCATAGGCCGCTCACCAGGATTCTACATCCAACTCTGTTCTGGGCAATCCTTTCCAGTTCTTTCCAGTTGTTATTCGTCCTTTTCATATCTGCTTTTATTTCTCGGCATAATGTGTTCTTTGGCTTTCCTCTTTTCCACTTCCTTTCAGGATTCCAAGTTAGACCTTGCCTCGTGATGCAGTTTGTTGATTTCTTCAGTGTATGCCCGATCCACATCCAACCTCTTTTCATAATTTCCTGGTTGGTTGGAAGCTGTTTTGTCCTCTCACACAGAAGACTGTTGCTGATAGTATCCGGCCAATGGATGTTGAGTATTTTGCGTAGACAACTGTTTATAAATACTTGTACCTTCTTGAAGATGGTTGTAGTAGTTCTCCAGGTTTCAGCTCCGTACAGTAGGACTGTCTTGACGGTCGTATTGAAGATTCTCACTTAATATTACCAGTGTAGATTTAAGATGAGAACAAACTGTTTTGGATTACAGGAAAAACGTTTGTATTTTTGTATGGTTAAGGCTTCAATTAACGTCTATACGAAATCATTTACTTATACCTTATATTTGATAAACCTTGAAAATTTTTTGCGAATACGTGAGCGACAATCACAATATTATTGTTAATAGCAAATGAATCTTTGATAGCAGCATCATTTGACGTTTTTCATGGAAATAAAGAATTGGAACAAAAGAATTTGAATCAAATTGCAGGTGGCTTTGAAAAGAACCTCTACTAGGTCTCTTAACAGTTTAGATATACCTGAACAAAGGCGTTGCTATGAATTCGTCATAGTGCCACATATGGGACAATGAACTCCATGTACGTGTGGTGATGCGTCGTAAGCACAAAACATATGAAACATTGCTTGGCATGATCAAAAGTTCAAAGCACTTCCATCAGCAGTTTCACTTGACGGCTGTGCAAAAAGCGAGTTTACAAATTCATTTGATCAACAGTTGTGAAGAAGAATTTCAAAAGACAATTATCTTCATCTGATTGATAATCACAAAGCTCACGAAGCGAGATGATGAGAGCTTTCAATTTGGCGTAATCATCTCAGTTTACAATATGAATAGCACATTGCTTACCAGGAAGGTTGGCCTGTGGTGGACATTCTCACGAACAGCAGTCCAGTAACCTTCAATTAGCTTGCGAAAGATGAAGGCCGTACATTGAGTGTTCAATGAAGTCCTTTATAAAAAAATATGGTAACACTAATCAAATGGCCTCGTTTTTCTAATCGGCTATGAGGAACCACTAGGTGTTTCACGGCCATTTCTCCAACATACAAATATAATATACGGCTTCTGATCCCTATGAAAATGAGAATCTCTCGCGCTCTATAACGCCTAACAGTGAATAAAACGCCGTTGCATACATGCTTACAATTCAGAGGTGATGCACCTAGTGAAATGCTGAGACTGAAGTTACGCAGATCACTCCAAAGAACTTTTAATGCGGGTAAGCTACTACCATTGTTTTCCACACGTCCAATGATCACTCCAAATTCGAAAGATAAATTGCCTGGAATAGCCACTTCTTTCTGTATCTATCAATTCAACTGCTCCTGTGTAGCAAGTTATATAGGCAAATGTTCTAGGAATTTGTATATTCGGACTCGTCAGCAATTTCCAGTGTGGTTAAGCAAAGGTGAAGTTGAAACAGTTAACAATTCCATTTTAACCTAATAAATTCAGACGGGAGATACAGCCAACATGGAGCAGTGTTTAACAATAGTAGATCGTGTTAATAGCAGTCTATCTAATTTCATCAGACTGAGAATCCTGCAGGTGGCTGAGGCAATCGCTATTCGGATCAGAATTTCAAAGCTTTACTTTCAAAAGAAATATGTTCAGATGCTCCTTCAGGGTCAAGTTGTTAATAGTCAATTTTTTAATATAGTGACGTAATTTGATTAATGCTCATTTTTATATCCTCAACTTATCTTATCTACACATCTCACCACTGTCATTATTATCATTATTACAACATTTGCTAACCTTTTAGATAAATTTATTCGGCATCCATCCCTATTTACTATATCTGACCTAATACATATTATCCTACATATTACGTAATTTCTGTTTTGTAATTCCATTGTTCTCAATCACCCCATGTCAACCATATTTATTCTGATCATCATTTATCTCACCATATCATTTCACTAATAAACTGATTCAAGTTAACACTTGGTATTATAATCAGAAGGAGTTTTGTGTATTAGTCACCGAAACAATAACGATTTGATTTGATATGACAAACAAGCCTGAATTCACATGTTACAGTTTTGTTAAATGATGTACTCTGCCTTAAATATGGCCAATTATTAATTTGGATTTATAATTTCAGAACATGATGAGAAATTATTGAAAGAATATTATTCGTTCATATGTTGTAATTATTCATCTTCCCCATAAGCTACTGAAAACCATTAGAAATGAGAATCACAACAATAGCCTAAACTTCCTACACCCTGGAGAAACTCTACTCAGTGACCAACGATGGCTCACAA